AAACCCGATTCCCATGTCTATATATTCCATCTGGTCTGGCTGTCAAGGTATTAATTTTTCCAATCATTCTCTCCTTTTTGATATTCGCTTCAAGTAAAGCTTCCTTCTGGACATCCCGTATTCGGTCTAGGAGCTCCACCTTAACATTCATCCACATGGCTCGAACCCTGATTGGTCTGTTTCTCTCATTCCTACTAAGTGCATCGGCAACTACATTTGCCTTACCTGGATGATAGTGAATCTCACAATCATAATCCTTAAGTAGTTCCATCCATCTTCTTTGTCTCATGTTTAGCTCCTTTTGATCAAACAAGTACTTAAGGCTCTTATGGTCAGTATAGATTATACACTTCGTACCGTACAGATAGTGTCTCCAAATTTTTAGCACGAAGACAACCGCTGCTAATTCCATGTCATGAGTTGGGTATTTCCTCTCGTGTTCCTTCAACTGACGAGACGCATATGCAATGACCTTGCCTCGCTGCATTAGTACACAACCTAAACCCATCTTTGATGCATCACTGTAAACGACAAAATCTTCTACTCCTTCCGRTAGTGCTAAAACCGGTGCAGTGCTTAGTCTCTCCTTAAGTGTCTGGAACGCTTCTTCTTGTTTCGTTCCCCAATCAAACCTAACTGACTTCTTAGTCAACGTTGTCAAGGGCGTTGCTATTTTGGAGAAATCCTGGATGAATCTTCGGTAATACCCTGCTAGGCCTAGAAAACTTCGGATCTCTGTTACTGACTTTGGTGATTCCCATTTCATTACCGCATCAATCTTAGCCGGATCCACCTTGATCCCTTTCGGGTTAACCATGTGACCGAGAAATTGTACCTCATGCAACCAAAACTCGCATTTTGAGAACTTGGTGTACAATTGCTCCTTGGCTTGTAGTTCAAGAATCATCCTTAAATGTAGTTCATGCTCCTTCTCATTTTTCGAATAAATCAAAATGTCGTCTATAAAGACAATGACAAATTGGTCCAAATACGGTCCACAAACTCGATTCATCAAGTCCATGAATGTCGCAGGTGCGTTTGTTAACCCAAACGGCATTACTACAAATTCGTAGTGTCTGTAACGAGTCCTAAAAGCGGTCTTCGACACGTTTTCTTCTCGAACCTTCAACTGATGGTAACATGATATCAAATCGATTTTCGAGAAGCAGCTGGCTCCTTGCAACTGATCGAAAAGGTCGTCGATCCTTGGCAATGGATATCTGTTCTTTATCTTGATTTTGTTCAACTCCCGATAATCGATACACATCCTCATCGTGTCGTCTTTCTTTTTGACGAAGAAGATCGATGCTCCCCATGGCGACGAGCTTGGCCGGATAAATCCTTTATCTAAGAGTTCTTGTAATTGCTTTATTAGCTCTTGCATCTCTGTTGGGGCTAAGCGATAAGGTGCCCTTGCGATTGGTACCGCACCTGGTACCAAATCGATTCGGAACTCTACCTGACGTTCCGGTGGTATTCTTGGCAATTCATCCGGGAATACTTCTGGGTAGTCCCTTACCACTGGAACATCTTGTAACGTCTTCTTTTCGAGCTTGGCGTCGATGGCGTATGCCAAGTAAGCCTCACATCCCCTCCGTAGACACCTATTTGCCTTAGTTGCATTGATCAACCCTACGCAAAACTTCTTTCGATCACCGTAAACATGAATTGTTTCTCCTTTCGGAGTCTGAATCTTGATCATATTCTTATTACACACTATTTGCGCATGATTGTTGGATAGCCAATCTATCCCCAAGACTATGTCAAAACCTCCTAAACACATCGGCATAAGCCTAACGGGGAATTCCTTCTCGTCTATAACAATTGTGCATTCATCGAATACTTCTTCTACTTTACGCTGACTACCGTCGGCTGTTTCTACAGTGTAGGTTTTGTCTAGCCTACGGGCACTGCTATTCAGATAGTGGCAGGAAGTGGTAAACACAAAACTACCATTTGCACCCGAATCAAATAACACATGTGTATACACATTGTTGATAGGGAACATACCAGATACGACGTCGGGTGTTTCCTTTGCCTCTTCCAAAGTCATGTTGTAAGCTCGGCCGTGTCCCTTAGGCAGTTCCTTCCTGTTTTCTGGTCTCTTCCTGAATCCGTTGTTCGCTGTCTTCCCGTGGGGTGTCGCACCATTGCGACGTTTTGGACAGTCAGGACGCAAATGTCTCGTAGCCCCACATTCGTAACAAATCCTTCCTTCCGGGCACTTTCGTGCGGTGTGCCCCGGTTTGTCACATCTATAACACGTCAGGCTCCCTGCTCTGCACTCTTCCTTATGCCTCTTGTTACATTGAGGAATAGAAAATCCCTCGCTTCGTGTTTTTGCCAAAGTTGAAGTCCATTTTGGCTTCTTGTCGGACTTGTTCGATCCTTCCCATCTTCTCTTTGCATCCCTTCTATCATGGTTCTCCCTAGCGTTGTTCTCTTCTGCTACTTTCGCCATTTCTACTGCTTGGACAAACGTGGTTGGCTTGGTCATGTCCACGTAACGTTTGATTTTGATCCTTAGGCCG